GTGAAAATTCTCTTTATCAAACTTAACCGACGGTAATCCACGCAAAGTCGATCGCTGCCATCTTTCTTTTTAACTAGTACAATAGGGCTCGTGAATTCCGATGAGGATTTTGCTATAATATCGTTTTGTTCAAGATTCTTAATCATTTGCGTTATTACCGTTCGCTTTGGAGCCGGAACTCGATGGGGCGCTTGCGTAATAACCTTTTTCGATTTTAAAACAATTTGCATTTCAATTAAGTGCGACTTACCAATGCCTTTTAATCCGTCAGGGAACATATCGTTGTAACTTTTCAGTAACGCTTGTAGTTTTAACAGTTGATCTTCATAACTTAAATTATTCGTTAGATTCGTAAAACATTCGTCATTAGGCAATGCAACACCATAACGACATTCAGCTTCTAGCTTTCATTCACAATTTTCCACCATAAACATCAAGCCTTTACGCGCTAGCATGTCTTAACCCAGTAGAAATTCAGTTTGCAACATGTTATTAGCAACAATATATACCAGCGTGCTGACCTTAGCTTCACCAATTACTATGTCGCACATACACCTCTCTCGCATCGTATACCTGCCTCCGCTTGTTCCGTTCAAATGTGTAAAACACTCTTCACGTTCGACTTTCAACTTATCAGCCGTTGATTTTCGAACTAAGCTGCACTCACTACCCGTATCGATTAATGCTTCAAACATTTTGCCATTGACGTTAATTTTCTTAACAAAACATTTTTTTCATTTTGCGTCATTTCAGCTTTTTGGGCGTTATGCGTAGCCTGCTTACGACCACAATTGACCGGATCCTCTCGTTTATGCACTTTACCACAATCAGTACACCTTGACCGCTTCTGCTCTTTTGTACATTTACTTGATATGTGGCCCACCTCACCACAGTTGTAGCGCACAGTCTTTTTGCCTTCACCACTAGCTGTTTGCTGACGTGGTGCGTTCTTTACATTTGCTTGATTTTCAAAATTCATTCTTCAATTATTTCGCGCATTTGCTTAGCACTTTCGAACCTTTGGGCTGCTATAGCAATTTGTAAATCACGATGATTCAACCCCTGCCGCGTATGTTGAATGATAGCAGATTCACTCAGCTGAAACCGCTTGCCTAGAGCATAAACCCAAAAACCGTAGTCAGATATACGTTCACCTGTTGTGCGTACAGATTCGCTCATAATACGATGCACTTGTGGATCGTCATACGATATACTAAATTCATTTTTTAATGCTTTGGTGAAATCATTCCAACTGGGGTGCACAGGGGGCAGTGCATCTAACCAGACACGAGCTACTCCTTTTAGTCGACCATAAACTGCTACTAAGACACATTTTGCGGCTAGCTGATCAGCGCTCATAACACTACCAACACGATCAACAAACTGCTGTACTGTTAGCGACTGCTTATTGGTCGGATCAAACTCCGGAACCATGCCTGCAATTTCTTTAATCGACCAAAAGCCACCCACATATGCGTTTGTAAAAACTGACTGCGTTGCTTCACTAGCATTATCGCTTGATTATTTATGTATATTCGACTGCACTACACGCGGGGTGTTTTGTTTGCTGTCCGTTCTGCTGTACCATGTTGAAAATTGTTTCCATCATACCCCGCAGGTCATCTATTTGATCCTGCCACCCAGAATTCATAACTGTTGGAGTTTCAATTCAATCAGTACCAATTTCTTGTATTAAGCGTAGTTCTAGTTCCGCTCTCGTACCGGACGTACTTAGTTAAGCCTTTTTCGTGCAGCATAACTTTTATTTGATCGATTTTTAATTCGCTAACTTAGGAATCATTGATTTTGCAACTCAAAACTCACTGATTTTCGTTTTTAGCTACTTCGTTTATACTCGTTCATCTCAATCTACGTTGTCATTTGATGATTTTCGTTGCACATATCCGCATCTTCGTTGCATGAACTTTGCTCGTTGTTATCGTTGACGTTGCCTTTCCTCTTCGTTGTTGTTTCAACACTTCGTTGTCGTTTGAATCGTAGATATGTAGATGTACAAATGTAGATATGTCGTAGATTTGCTGCTTTACGTTGATGTTTCGGTTTTCAATTGTCTTTGCTGCTGCGCTGTTGTACTACTGATGAAGTGCTTTGTTGTACACACATGCCGCATGTATGTGTGTATGTCGTATCGCTGTTTGTTCGTTCTCGCTTATGATTTTGCCTCATGCGCGATCAACTCTTTTGCATTCACTGATTTAGAATAGGAAATTCAAATTCAACTGCCGGTTGCAAGAATTTCACAATCTTGGCGCCGCTGCCCGTTTGCCAAAATACAAATGTTGGAGCGCTAGGGCTCCTGCGCTTCTACGCTTGAAATTTTTGTATTTTCCACGAGTTTCTTATATGCACACGCACTCACGTTCCCTTTGGGCAATATTTCAACACACTTTCCTTACTTCTGAACAGTTGGGGAATATCTACGTTAAGGCCCCTATGGCCGGCCGTGCAACTAAATGACGAAATCTGTCAGGATTTACGGGTATGCCCCAAGGATTTTATTCAGTGTGTTGTTTTAATGTTTTTACAGTTTAAAATATAATAATAGAAATGCTTAGTAATTGAAATATGTGTTGAACGATGATTGACGACTCTTTTCTCTATATTCGACACTTGCCGAGTGCCTCGGATAACTCGTTTATCCGCACTAGGGTGATTCATTTATAGTCGTTATCCGCAATGGGGTGATTCATTTACACAGGGTGAAAGCTCTAGATAGTTTTCGGTATAATCAGCCACATTGGGATTGAGTTGGGGTATCGAATTAGATGGATTAACTTCTGAAATGAACTTCAGTTGGTGAACTATTTTAGCCTTGCTGTTTTCATAAGTATCGCAGCAGATACGATACTTGCCTTTCGCCGACTCCAAAAGGTTCTCCGAAAGGTCTTCAAATCCTAGGAATAGGGCATCGTATGAAAATTTAAGTCGATTCCAAAAGTCATCGAGAGATGTATCTTTACTGTGAAGAGTTGATTCGGTGTATTCTTCTAAAGAAATTGAGGTAAATCTCGTACAGAAACTCATTAGAATGTCACTTTCTGCTTCAAATATTTGTGAGCTTGAGTCATAGGCAGGAGATATCCTATTAATTTTTACTTGGGTATATTTGGGTGGAGATTCTGGCATTTTATTAATATTAGATATATATTAGTTTATGGTTTTTAAAATTATTTTATTTTTATTTTTTGTATAGTTGTGTGCAAATATGCGTTTTAGGTGTATATAAATGTATGTTTGTGTGAGCAAGCGTACGGAGGCTTTCTGAATGCTTAAATCACAGCTGGGCAGCGTCTGCCCGGCGGACGACTGCGCGTCGTATTCGCGTATATATAGACGCTATGCTTGAGAAGGCAGCGAAAGCTTCATTCAACTGCACGACTTGTTCGCACGCACACAGTGACATCAATTGCACGCACACTACAAAAATGCCCTGCCCAGGCTGCACACCTCTGGCTTAAACCAATGTGCTAGCCTATTAAATTAGCTGATGTGTGATATAATATACAGCATAGAGAGTATTTACAAGTATGTACGTATGTACAAAAACATATATACTCGTTTAACGTACATAAAATGAAAACAAATGTAAGTGACTTTGGATGATGGGAGTACTTCGAAGCTTCACAGGGTAAAAACAAAATTAATAGTGAGGGAGTAACATATGAGTGATAGGTGATCTAAATGTGTTCATATGTAAATATCTTACATGCATGTGCTAGTGCTTGTTCGCATGATAAGCCGATATTAGTGATGCGCGAGTATGTAGGTATCAGGGTAGCCAGCTCGTGGGGAATTCCCCGATTTGCGTGGAATTTGAGTTTGCGTGGGGAATTGGGGAATGGACCGTTTCTTATTGGGAATTTCAGTTTATGTGCAGAATCGGGAGATGAACTGCTTTTTGCGAGGAATTAGGTGTTAACTAATTTTTTGTTTGCTTCACTGATTTCATAATGATGTAAAAAAGTCGCATAAGAAATGCAACTGCAACTAAAAGTACTGATTATGCAACTAGAATTTTCTTTGTCGCATTTGCGTGCATGTAACGAATAAACACACTATTTTTGTGTGGAACCGCATCACTTGAAAATTGAGTGGGCTACAAAATTGCATAAGTACTCAAAATCTTTCTAAAAAATCTAATTAAAAAGCTTGAAATGTTTACGAAAGTTTGTAGAATTTTTTTTAATATTACACAAAGCATGAAACTTGGATTTATACAGTTGAATTTGTTAAAGAAATTACTGTATTTTTATAAAAAAAATAAAAATAAATTATAATTGTGAAAACTTTTTTCGACCACTGTATATGTGTAAATATTATATGATTTTTTTTTTTTTATTTGTTAACTAACTTTATAAAAGTTTGGTTTGGTCTATGAATACATACATAGCTGAATTACATTAAACTAAATAAAATTAGAAAAACTTTTTAATATACTGCGTGTTATTAAATAAGAAAAGTCGACATATTAATATTGCATTGGCTTTATTCAACAGGGTATTAATTTTCGCTTGCATTCTTTTATGCGTAGCTTGTACTTTATGCCTTTTAGTGTATTCTTATAGCCAAATATTTTGGCATGTGTCAAGTTACATATAAGACATTGTTGATTAATGCACGCAAATGAAAGTAGACGCAAAATGTGGAATATGCTTATGTCAACAAAAACGTGGGAATAAAGCATTTGCATTAATTATGCTTATGTAAACCAAAACGTGGGAATAAAGCCTTTACAATAATTTTGCTTACGATCTAAAGTTTTTATGCCCTTATTATTTAGCTACGTAAGCATTTAGTTTGTATAAAAACGTTATCATTAATTCAATAAAGATCACTTGAAAGCAATCAAGCAAACAAAAGTGGTCGAACTTGGCGTAATCGCTATTATTCTGAACATTCTGGTGACCCCTGTGAAAGGACATTCAGCTTAAACAAGGCAGCAGTTTAAGGAGCCACAAAACTAATCTAAAAGAAGAAAAATGGATCGTTTCGAGGATTTGGCAAGACAGCAAAGAGAAACGGGCGGCAATATCGAATCAATTGTCCGAAACTTTAAAAAGGACCCGCAATCCAGGAAGCAGTCAATCAGCTATTACGAAGAGCGATTGAGAAGACTGGACAGCGAGTGGTCGAAGTTTGAAACAACTGACAACAAACTTCGACTGCTTGAAAACCCCCAGCTGGATCACGACTACTTTACAAAGGACTACTATAACAATATAATGGAAATTGTAAATCAGTACAAGGAGATTTTCGAGTCCGCAGTGCTCCAATTGGCTCAAACCCCGACGAGAGAATTGCGCTTAACAACTGATGAAGGAAGTACGTACCAACATGATGCTTCAGCTTCAAAAGTCAACACAGAAGCACGGCATGATACTGGAACCAAACAGGCAGCTTCCAACGAGTACACTAAACTAGTTCGCAGACAAGGGGTAATGATGGCCTCGTTGCGACGGTTACTGAACGACAACGTTTCACCACAATGTGTTCCAACAATTAATAAACTGTGGGAAAATATAGAAGACATTCACTTCAGGATATATGAGATGTTCGACAACCCAACCGAGCAGGGCTACAAGGTCGATAACTTCATTTCACTTGAGGAAAAGGTATGGAGTACTTTGCAAGCAGCTAATAGTGACTCCCATACTGAGCAATCTTCAAACCAACTTCCGATTAAACTGCAATCCATTTCATTGCCGAAGATAATAATTCCAAAATTCGATGGCACCTATTTAAAATGGCAAGAATTTCATGACCTATTCTCGCAACTGGTAATAAATCAACCTCTTTCAAAAGTTCAGAAAATGTGGTACTTGAAAACTCACTTAGTGGGGGAGGCTGGAAATTTAATTAAACATTTCGCATCAACAGGAGAGAATTTTGATGCAGCTTGGTTCATGCTTCTGGAGCGTTACAACAACAAACGCTTGCTAGTGAGCAAGTTAATACATGAGCTAACTACTACACCTGGAAGCAAATCAATGGACAATGTCAAAAAACTGCATGACACAACACAAGAATGTCTATTAGCATTGCAAAATTTGCAGATAGACACATCAACATGGGATCCACTTCTGCTCCCCCTTCTACTAAAGAAACTGGATCAACCGACTCGTTTGCGGTACGAACAATCATTATCAAAGCCACGGGAGGTACAAACACTCAAGGAATTCCTGCAATTTCTGGAGAAACACTTTCAATCCATGGAAGCGATGGGTGTCAAAGACAAATCTACAAGCTCAACTGCAAAGGTGTGCACTTCAGTCACATCCAAAGGTCATAGAAATGACACTTGCAGCATGTGCAAAAAAGGAAAACATCCATTATTTTCTTGCAAGGAATTTTTACAACAGTCTCCATCGGCACGCTTTCAGTTCATACAAGGGCAGAAATATTGCCACAATTGCCTAAAACCGGGACATGGTTCTAAAAATTGTATATTAAGAAACTGTCTGAAATGCAACAAAAAACACAACACGCTGTTACATTTCGAGGATTCAAAAAGGGATGTGAGCAAAGACATTACATCAGTAGCCACTCCAACACAAGGCAACGAATTGCAAAGTACTACACCATCCAGGACCAAATCAACGTCATCAAAAGACGAAGCAGCGTCACTTACCACCCCAAAGCACACAAAGTCAAACACATATGTACTACTCAGCACTGCCATGGTGAAAGTTAGAGGAATCGGAACAGAAGTGCAGTGTCGGGCAATTCTCAATTCAGGCTCACAAGTTAATTTTGTGACTGAACGATTGGTTAAACGTCTTGGTATCTCAACTAAACCATCATCAATCTCCATTAGTGGCATCGGGTCAAGGAGCACTAAGATACAGCATCGAGTCAATGTGACGCTACAGTCTCGGATCAACAACTTTACAACGTGGCTAGAGGCAGCGATATTGCCTCAGATTATATCCCCGCAGCCGTCGCAAGAAATCAAGATCGACGAATGGCAAATTCCTGAGAACATCATGTTAGCCGATCCATCATTCAATCGCCCTGACAAAATTGATATATGGTTGGGGGCGGAATCCTACAATCAACTGATGGCAGCAGGGCAAATCAAACTGTCAGATACAGTGCTGGGATGGATCATCGCGGGAAAAGTTGGTGGCAACTACATCTCAAATGCAATATGTGGAATCTGTACCAACGATGACATCAACTTAGATGCAGCCATTGCTCGATTATGGGAACTTGAGGATGTTGCAACTGTAAGAAAACAACATTCCGTAGCAGAAAAACAGTGCGAAGCTCATTTCGCACAACATATACTCATCAATGAAAATGGGAGATTCATGGTAAGGCTACCATTTCATGAAAATCCGGAGGCCTTAGGGGAATCCTATGGGATGGCGTATAATCGATTCCTGGCCTTAGAACGTCGACTGGCAAAATCGCTCCAGACAAAGAATCAATATGTACAATTTATGGAGGAATATGAGAACTTGGGGCACATGACGCAAGTGGATATTGATTCCATCAGTAAACCTAGGTACTTCATTCCTCACCATTGCATTGTGAGACCCGAAAACCGCAATACAAAATTACGTGTGGTGTTCGACGCATCAGCAAAATCGTCCACTGGCATGTCTTTGAACGACCTCATGTATACCGGACCCACTGTTCAGAGCGAGCTTTTCACCATTTTACTTCGCTTCCGTTTGCCCAGGTTCGTCTTCACCACAGATGTAGAAAAAATGTATCGACAGATGCTCATTCAACCGGACGAACGCAAATTCCAACTTATCATCTGGCGAAAGGATTCAAGCCTACCAATAAAGCATTATCAGCTAAATACAATCACATATGGGACAAGATCTGCTCCATATTTAGCCACCAAATGTTTGCAGAAAATTGCAAAAGAAAATACTTAATACCTTAAAGAAAATCCTCTTGGTGCTCAGTTTCTACAGGACAATTTTTATGTAGATCACGGAATTGGTGGGTCAGACAGCTTAACCCCTACGATGGAAATTCAACAGCAACTGATACACATCTTAAAACAACGTGGTCTTAACCTAAGAAAATGGTGCGCCAATCACTCACAATTACTGCAAAATGTT